GGTGGGACCTGCTCTCGTGTTCTAGCACAGTTAACATCGATTAAAAACTCTTCAGTGTTGACATGTTGATATGGCCATCTCTGGCCTTGTCAGGAAGGTAGGCAGTCATAACCCTAGCTGCGTGGTGTGTGTAGTTTCTTTGCACAATTGCTACTTGAACTTCAAACATGTATGCTTGTATTCTTGCACACAGAAATCTTTGTGCAAGGGAGAAGGAGAAGGCATGAAGAATATATTGCTTGCTTTTTAACACACATGCCCACATACACAAAAGAGGGAGAGGGGGCTTGAGCCTGCAGATTCAGAGTGGTGGATGTTATCTATGTGTGGGTCTCTGGTGCCCTCTAATGTCTGAAATGACTGCCAGCTTTTGCAACAGCATCACATCTGAGCAGGTTCCAGTGCTTTTAAAAACTGTGGGACCTGTACTGCTTGGCACAGCTTCTTTTTCACTGTTTGGGAGTGAAGAAGTTGCACACAAATTTTCCCTCTCCGCATATCTACCAGTAGACGATGAGCCCTCTTCAGACATTATTATGACCATCTTAGCAAGGGCAGGCTGGATAGCTCAGTGGTTTAGGTATCTGGCTATGGAGCCAGAGGTTGGGAGTTCTGCCAGTTAGCTCTGCTGCTCACAGGTCGCTTCAACTGTCAAGAGAGCTGGTCTCCAGCGCAGCCAGATGGTTTGGTTGGGAAACTACAAAGATAACTGCTGTTCTGGGGCAACAAAGTCTATCAGATTCACCTCGGTGTGAGTTCTGATACTGGAACAAGTAAAGTTGATGGAACTTTGCTAACATGTCCTGTTGGCTGTGATTCTTTTCAGCTTATAGATCTCAAAGATGTGGGCAGAGTGTGGAATGGTGAGAGTTACCACCTCCTTAGTTGATCCTTGACTCTCCTGGCTAATCAAATCTGCCAAGGTGTGCTTGATGCCATGGTTAAGGGATAAATGCTTTCTTACTGGAAGGGGTTGTCCCTTCCTGTCTAAAGGAAATCATAATAAAACTTTTGTTAAAGAAACCTGCCCTTGCCTAGCAATTCTGATTAGCTACTTATAGGTCAGTCTCCAGTTTACCATGTCTGTTGTGGCACTGATTATCTCGATCCATTTTAATCAGGCTTTTGGTCAGGATATGAATTTGAGAGTGTGTTGTTTCTCTTGGTAGAGGACTTAACATGAACACTGGATAAAAGGAGCATAACCTGATTGGTCCTCTGGACCTCTCAGTGGCTTTGTATCCTATTAGAGTGCCTGACTGGATTGGGTATTGGAGGCATGGTATTGCAGTGTTTCCAGTCTTTCCTGTCAGGATGTATTCAAGAGATGGCGCTGAGGAACCGATGTGACATCATGTACTTTGTGTGGAGTTCCACAGGGCTCAACCTTATCCCCCATAATATTTAACACCTAGATGAAGCACCTGAGAGATGTCATTCAAAGCTTTGCGGACTGGGATTCAACCTGTTCTAGAAGAGGTTGCACTCTCCCATGAGGTTTGGGAGTACTCCTTGACTTTGTTCTTTCTCTGGATTCTTAGGTTGCAGTGGTGATTAATAATGTGTTCACACAACTCTACTTAGTGTACAAACTACAACTTTTCCTAAGTCAACTGAGCTTGGGGGGGGGGAACCTCTCACATTTGAATCAGATTTTGCATGTTTTAAATCAATTTTTTAAAAAGGTGACTACACAACAAACATGGAACTGCGTACAGTATTTTTTTTTCCAAAAGGAATTGTGTTTTTTGGTCAGAAAGTGAGGTATTTTACTGAGCAGCAAGAGGGTCATTTATTTTAACTTGGTTGCAAAATCAATGTAGTTTGAATCATTTTGCCATACATACACGCCTCTGTTGATGTAAATTGTGTCTGTAGGTTTCCCACTGTGGGGCTTTGTGTCAATGTCCTTGTCAATTTCTCTTGCCTCCCCTCTTGCCAGCACTGTTTGCATTGCTCCTTTACCTCTCTCTTGGGTACCCTCACTCAGAAGTTTTAAAGGAGAGAAGACTACTGTCACTTTAAAATTTTACTGAAAGAGGACCCTCCATCTGGATTCCACAGGCTGCAGGAAACCTCTCCCCCCCATCTGTAATATTGACATATTGATATTACAGTTTGAAATAAATAAGACAAATAAAACAAATATTAAAAGTAACGTCTCAGTTGTCATCGCGAGTGGCCATCGCAAGGGTGGCCACAAGACAACGCCTCAGTAGCAACAATTTAAAAAACCCATGTAGCCCCCTCAACTGATATACAAGACAACTTAGAAATAGATTAAACGTTTTCCCAAGAGGATACATACACCAGCCGGAATACCAAGTGACTGCCATGTGACTGTAACCTTTTTTCAAAACCTCCGATCCATCTCCCAATTTATTTTCTTATTTTAGCCATGATCTCTGTTATAGTGCTGTGCACAGTACTAAAGGTAATGCGACCTCAGGACTGAAACGCCTGCTCCGATAGGCATTTGCTTAGTGGACCCAATTTAAGGTGCTAGTTTTAGCCTTCAAGGCCCTAAATGGCTTGTGGCTGGCTATCCAAGGGGCAGTAACAGCCTGTCTTGTTCTGAACACATCTTGATGTTAAGATCCTTTAGAGATGTTCTGTAGAGAACAGCTTGACAGGCATGCAGGACAGGGTTTTCTCCTGCATGGCCTTCAGATTGTGGAATGCAGTGCACTCCGTGTTGTGATCAGTTTCTGATCTCACTTCTTTTAAAAAGAATGTGAACAGTTCTTTTAAAACTGGTTACCAATGTTGTTTCACCTATTGTTATGATTTCTACTGACTGTTGATTTCAGTGTTTGGTTTGGTTGTATTTCTATTTATTTGATTTTAATGATTTGTTTTTGCTGGTTTTTAGTGTGTTTTATGCTGAACATAAGCTGATATGGCAAAATGGGGAGGAAAGGTAATGTTCTTATTTTTTATACATATCTCTGGCGTGATGTTAGCAGAGGATAACAGCCTGTTTTGCATGTTGCACTGTAAACAGAAACAGTCTGGGAATGTGATCCCTTCTTGCTTCTTCCCAGTTTGCTTTACCCACCTCGTTTCTAATATTTAAAGCTGTATGAAAGGCCAAACTATATGCTATATATTAATACCTGTAACTCATTCACTCCTAATGGCTGACCCTTATTTTTCTGATAAGAGCTTTGGAAAAAAAATCATTGTGAAAGGAAAGAGGAATGCTTGGGTCTTCATCCGGCTGGGTGCCACAGATGTGGCAGTAGTGCAAAACAAACATAGATGTTCCAAGCATCATGGCCATCTGTGCAAGCCAGACTCCTTTGTTTAAAGCAGGTTTCAGAATGGAGGTTGCAAACTCAGGTCAGAGGTGGTAGGTTTCAGATGTTACATCTGGTGGCTGGATTAGAGTGCCTCTTCTAACCATGTCTGACAGACGGTTGCCAAATTCTCTAGAGGGCACTCTTGGGCTATATCAGAGTGTAAGGATTTGTCACATGCACATTCCTGAAATCGGTGGAAATTGTGCTGTTAGACAACTGTCATTTATTTCATAGATAAACCTGATTCCAGTCATTAAAAAAATACTTACAGTATTTAGAAGTTGATTCTGTCAAAAGGAATAGGACATGTTTCTGAAAAATTCTTATTGCACATGCATTGTTTCATATCTGCACCTTCAGATGAAATATTTATTTATTTATCTATCTATCTATCTATCTATCTATCTATCTATCTATCTATCTATCTATCTATCTATCTATCTATCTATCTATCTATTTTGTTGTTGTTTAGTTGTTAAGTTGTGTCTGACTCTTCGTGACCCCATGGACCAGAGCTCGCCTGACCCTTCTGTCTTCCACTGCCTCCCGGAGTTTGGTCAAAATTTATTTATTTTGGTAAAGATAAAGGTTCCCCTTGACATTTAGTCCAGATGTCCAACTCTAGGGCACGGTGCTCATCCTTGTTTTCAAGCCATAGAGCCAGCATTTGTCCGTAGATAGTTTCCGTGGTTACATTGTATGGATCGCCATTACCTTCCCACCGAGGTGGTACCTATTTATCTACTTGTGTTTTCATGCTTTCAAACTGCTAAGTTGGCAGGAGCTGGGACAAACGACAGGAGCTCACTTCGTTGCATGGATTCGATCTTACGACTGCTGGTCTTCTGACCTTTAACCCGCAGTGCCACCATGTTCCTTACTTGTTTAGAATATTTCAACTCCGCCTTTATCCTTTAAAAGGATCCAAGATGGCTTGAGTAAAGCTCTAATAATTCATTTCGGTGTATAAATATTGAAATGAAACTGTCATAGCCCCTTTCTGGAATCCTTGCAATGACAGGAATGCAAAAGCCAGCTGTCATTTCATTAGTATCTATTATATTATGAAGACATTGGAAATGGCCTTGGTTTTCTAAAGCACCTTGTGGTTTGAGAGAGGAATGTTGTCAATTTTCTTCATGACGTTACATTTTGCAAGCACCATGTTTTTGTGAGATGGAGGACTTGAGCCTGCTTGAGGCTACAAGTTGGCGTGTTCCCTGGTCCCTAAACTATTTGCCAGGCAGTCACTCTCCCCAGCCAGGCTGGCCATTGCTTCTCCTTAACCTGACCTGGATGGACAGACTATAAGGGCTGACTGGTCAGGCTAGGGCTCTCATTGAACGACAGAGGCACTCAATGTGAATCTGATGCCTGGCTTAGATGCTTATTTAGAGGATGCAAGGCTTCCACCATTGACACTAGCATGATATTAGGGGACTAATGTTCATCTTGTGTGTACTATGAATCTCTGAGCAGAACAAACAAACCAGCATTGTGAATAATATGCCTGTGTTTGGTGGCAAGAGCGTATGTTTCAAATTTGCACAAGGTCTTGCAATCTTTGGGACAGATGTTCCTTTTGTCTAAGAAGTCATTCTGATACCTGTGATAGGGAACAAGTTGCTGTTGCCTCATTGCTGGTGACTGCCCTTTTCATTTTACAGCTCTGCTCTTTGTTGATAATTTGTACACAGTCCCTCTTAGATATGAACCAGGAAGTTCGGGATTCCTGCTCCATTTGCATAACTCAGTAGCAAATACAGCCAAGAGCTCAACTAAACTGAATGTTCCCATCAATCTCTTATTAGTCTGTAAGTAAACTCTTCTTCAATAATGATGTAGTGATTAGTGTGAGGGCTTAATTCACAAGGTGTTTGTGAAGATGCAGGGGGGGAGGATGACAGCCATGCCTGCTGACTTCAACTCATTGGAGTAGAGGCAACATTATAAATAAATAAATAAATAACTTCCTCTACACAATCATGGGTGAGGACCCCTGCCATTTGAGTGAATAACATCTGACAAGCATAGCAGCCTTTTCCTCTGCTATAATTTTGGCAGTGATGGGAGGTTTTCAGTTCTGTTTGGAGAAAGGCAGGGTAAAATGTTTTAAACAAAATAAAAATAAATAAATAAATACATAATTTAAAAAGGAGAATGGCCCCTTCTGGTAGAGTCTTGTAACTTTTGAAGAGAGAAAACTCTTGCCAGAGAGGGATCAGAATTGCAAGGTTAAAAATCACTCTCCTCTAATTTTCCAAACCTCCTGCTGGGCCCTATCATTTTGCATAGCCCCAATCCTCTTGTAATCACTTATTTCCAAGTGAGCAGACAGAGGTTTGGTTTACATGGGATTACTTTACTCCTTAGGGTAGTAAAAGTGTCAAAACAGTTTCGGGTGCCTAAATACTGCCATAATCAAAGGTGAGTCAAACAGTGACTCAGCAGGCATGTTCCAGCTCCAATTAAAACACAGTTATTGTGCCTTAAACATTAATGATTGTAGGTTCCCCTTGAGGTTCATGTTCGTTTCTGTTTCTCCAGAAAAAGCAGGTGAGGGCAGGCAGCTTTTCCAGAGCAACATGAATGTAGAAGTTCTTTCCAAACTAGAGCAAGAAAGAGTGAAGTTGAAGGAAGAGCCATTGAAAAAGGACCATAAGGAGAGAGCAGTAAACAGGAGCTCGGCGCAATGGGTGATCCAAGTGACTTATCTGATTACAACGGTCGACCTGAGCTGCCTGTTCATGCAGATTGGGATTGTTCCCGTGAGTATGGACTATGAACTTTTAACCATTCAACTGGATAGTCAGTAGTTCCTTGAAAATGTTGCACGCTGGCCCATGCAGCTAGGGGGGGATCAGTTTAAATGTATCACTTTTGCATGCATCTGGTCCCCTGAAATAAAGGGTATTTTTGTTCTGCAGCAATGTGGCCCTCTGGAATAAATACTTCTAATGATGAGGGTGAGATGGCAACCATAGAGAAAAACAATTTAAGCTGTTGTCTTAGGAGGTCAGGAGACAGCATCTTTTCTGGTTGCTTACATGGTCTGGTAAAATCCTGCAAAACTGTGTGCACCAATTTCGCATATACATGAAGAAAGGGTGTTGGAGGTAGACATGGACTTTTAGAGCTCACAGCCATGGGCATGTCTGTGTTTAGACAGGTTGTCTGTTTTTGCCTCTCAAATAGAGCCATTGGACCTTGGGTTTTCTCTGCAGCTGGCACAGCCTTACAAAACCTGTCACTCTTAAGGGCTGCCTTCAGAACAAGAGATCAGTTGGGTGGTCACTCTGGGAAGCCCTGTCAACCCCTCTTTTGCTGCTGCATTAGTGGGTTCAACGTGGTGCTTCACTAAGGTGGCACCAGTTCTCCAGGGCTTCTTTGCTCTGGGTCCAGATAATAGAAATGTCATCAGTGTATTTTTATTATTATTTTTTATTTTTTTTATTTATATGCCGCCTATCTAATCTCATTGAGTCCACTCTAGGTGGTTTATAGCAAGCACAATACAATATATTAAAACAATTTTAAATAGGGGAAAAACTTTAGACAAGATGGGACGAACACTAAGAAAGGGGAAAAAGAGGGAAGATTAGGAGTTGGCTGAGGGGAAGGCCTGCCGAAACATCAGTGTATCTCAAATAGATGAGTGGTTTTTGGGTACAACAATTAAGAAAGCATTGTTCCAGGTCAGCTATGAGTATATTTACATATTATGGTGCCATATGAATAATCACAGAATTTCCATTATTCTGGAAATAGGTTTTGTTGTCAATAGTGAAATAGCCCTGGAGAAATTTCACTGGGATTTCAGTGAAATTTCATCCTAACATAAAGCTCAGCATGGATCAATTCACAGAACAAGTGCACATTCTAGACACTATTGCAAAGCTGCAACATGGACATCTTTGTACCACACTGTATTGAAAATTCACTGGTTGATATACATACTTGCATGCCTCCAACTTCCATCCTGAGTACATTACAAAAGCTGTTGTTTGCAGCGAAGCCTTCAGATATAATTTCATTTGTTCAGCCAAAGATTCCTCTTCCACTCCAGGGGGCCACCTCAAATAATAACGCAGTGTTTCCCAACCTTTTTTGAGTCATGACCCCCTTTTTGTAAAAGCCAAGTAGCCTGAAACACCCTCCCACATTTGCATAAAATTGCATTGTTATGGGTTAAAGAGAACACATTAAAAATAGATATTTTTTTCAGAATGTGATTTTAACCTAATATTTAATGCAATGGCTTCAAAATGTGTGGCCAACCTCATGTCATTCTCAACATTCAGTCTGATTCTTGCCTTTGTTTTGAGATGCACATGAGGGAGAAAGAGAAGGCGGATATTAGTCCACGGTATCCAGGAGCAACTGCCCACTCCGTGACTGGATTGGCACATACTGTATGTTTTGTCAATTAGCGATCATGCCAATGGCCTTGGTTATATCATAGATCCTCACTTTCCTCTATGAATTTTCCCAAGCAGAATCCTTTTGAATATTGCAGTGTAATCATATTGAAATAATTAAGTGTTGAAAACTGTTGTGGTGAAATTTCCGATAAAAATAATTACAACTAAAAATAACCATGACAACCCCCCAGATAACACTTTGTGACCCCCTTGGGACCTGCGACCCACAATTTGGGAACCCATGTCTTAAGATAACAAAGCAGCTGAGATGGGCCCCTCTGGAAGTCCTGAATGTGCAAACTTAAAATATCATATGTCGTCTACAGTAATATTGTAGGATTTACTATTTTATCAAAATGTAACATGCAACTCCTCTCTTTGATTTTTTTTTTCCCCATCCTACTTTAGTATTTGGCAACAAACCTGGGATTGGATGCAGTTGGATTTGGCTACTTGCAAACCGTCTTTGGTGTTCTTCAACTCCTGGGAGGTCCGATTTTTGGGAGGTAAATATAAAAGCTATTCTTGTGAACCTTGTGGAATAGCAGGGTTGCTTGGAGTTAATAAAGCCCCTTAATTTTTAGTTCAGGAAAATAATTTAAACAAACATCTGGATTTCCTTGCTCAACAGCTCCGGAATGAAAGACACTTTACTACTGTACAGTATAATATTATACTAACCAATTGGACTGCATAATCCCTGTGTTGTTGTTTTTTTCAAACATTTTGATTGCCTCTGGATCTTGGCAAATGTAGGAACCATGAATAAGTCTGTGAATAAAAACAGCAATTTCAACAGGAAGAGGTAAGGAAGGAGGATCATAGTGAGGCCACTGCCTTTAACCCTCCCTTTTGTATTTTTTAATAAAGTACCAAATTTACATTAAAATTTCCCCCTTTCATAAGGGGAAAGGCCATGGATTAATATGATACTGGGGATAGCACATTAATACAGCTTCTCTTACCTCAGTCTCCTCCAATGTTTTAGAAAACAACTCCCATAACCTTCAACCAGCATAACTATCTGGGAAATATGGATATTGTAGTCCAGCACACTTGGAAGACTTCAATTTGGGGAATGCCGGGTTAGCCTGAGAAGCCTTATAACTGTAAGCAAGGATGAAAACAGATATTGGTTCGCTCTTGCAGATGTTCTCTTGAGACAGGTTTCTGTATGCAGTGGAGAGGACAACTTGTGCTCCACTCAATGTAGTTGGGCTCATATTTGCATCAGCTGGCATAGCCAATAGTGGTGTGGAATGAAATTTGTAGTTCAGCAGCATTGAAGAATCACATATCAGCCAGCTTGCCACTATGCACTTCATTCCTTGGCTAGTGAAGTGTTTGCTATGCCTAAGCTGAATAGTTCAGTGAGTCTGTGACTCCACACACTCCACACACATATGCACATACTGTGAATATGCACCCAAAAAGTCTGGTTCCCTTGGGTGAGTTCATTTTAGCCAACCAGACAGAAGTCTGCAGAGAGAGGGGAGGAAATTGCCAATCAGTCTTTGTTTGTAACTTGCTTTACTACTGTACACTGTAGCCATCCAGATTTGCAAGAGACGCAGCTAGAGCAGAAACTGCCTTAAAAAGCTGAAAATGGGCTGGTTGACAATTTCCTCTTCTCTCTCTCTCTCTCTCTCTTTTATTTTGTAGTCTCTTGTTCTATTGCAGCTTTGTTCAAGTGCTGGCACTAAGCCTTTAAAAATGGTTTGGAGACAATTGGTGCTTGTTTGAGGGGAACTGACACTCTTGCAAGTGCCCGTTGGCTTCCTCTATCCCCACTCTGTCAAACACCATCACCTTGCACATAGTTTTCTGCACTGGCACAAGCAGTTGCACCACCTCAGCTTATACAAATATTTTGAATTACCAAAAAAGCAGAAGCTCCATCAGTGGTGGAAAAAAGTACCTTGTGAAGTCAATGGAAAATAATACAAATCTGACCAATCCTAGTCCTGGAGCGTTTCCTGTATAATTTGGCAATGTCATTACCCCCTGAACTGGGTACCTGGCTACAGGTTGGGAGTTGGATTCCCCACTATGCCTCTCAGAAGAAGAGCCATCCTGTGTAGCTTTAGGCAGGTTGGGCAGTTCCAGGACACAGAAGGGACTAGTATACCACTGCTGATTACTCTGTACCTCACATTGGAATAGACTTGATGGCATGTAAGGACTGCTGGATAGCTCAGTGGTTTAGGTATGTGGCTGTGAATTCGGAAGTTGGAAGTCCAGTTCCCCACTATGCCTCCTTGATAGGGGCTGGACTTGATGATCCCTGGGGTCCCTTCCAGTTCTGCAGTTCTAATATGATGTTGATGTTGTTGATGATGATGATTAATTTAAAAGTTAAAAAAAAATTAAAAGGAAGAACTTTGTGTCTTTTTCTTGAGATAGAACTTCATTTGCAAAAGAAACTTGTGTTTGGCATGTTGAGATGCCATCTTATGGTCCAAAGGGATTGTGATCACACGTATTTACAATATTCCTGGTATCTGCCTTTGATTGATGTTCCTCAGTCCTTCTGGCTTTCTGACCAACATTAGGATTTTCCAGCGGTGGTGTTCTACTTTTAACACCACACAAACAGTTCAATCTCTGAACATTCTCTATTTTTCTATCAGGTTCGCTGACAGGTTTGGAACAAGGGCAGCCTTGATTCTCTCATACATGTCTGAATCGTTGTGCTTCTTGCTCCTGTCTGTGTCCACCAGCATCCCACTGCTTTTTCTTTCCAGAGTTCCATCCATCTTCATGCACGGACTACCAGGTATGGTTACTTGAGTAGGCAAATGCTGTAGGTTTACCCTAGTGCTAAAGGTCCTATAGTCAAATGGAAAAAAAATTGGTTTAGTGAAGAACTGTCACTTTGCACTTCTATTCACCAGCAGCTGATTCAATTAACAAGAGGATGTTTGGGAAAGCAAAACACCAAAGTCTTTCTCATTAGAAGGGACTCAATTTTCAAAAAAAGAGGTGTATTTGGCATATAAGAATGCTACATATTGTAAAAGGGATTGGGATCTCATGCTTTCATAATATTCCTGACAATATGTCACCAACTGGTGTTCAAAGGTACTGATGCTGTGCATGATAGGTAAAGGTTCCCCTTGACAATTTGTCCAGTCATGTCCAACTCTAGGGGTGGTGCCCATCTCCGACCCATAGAGCTAGCGTTTGTCCGAAGACAATCTTTTGTGGTCATGTGGCCAGTGCAACTAGACACCATTACCTTCCCACCATGGTGGTACCTATTTATCTACTCACATTTTGCATGCTTTCGAACTGCTAGGTGATCCCCTGTGCATGATAGGGATTAAGAAAAGAATGGTGTTACAGCAATATGAAATCCATCAACAAGCCTGGGGGTTAAATGATCAAGGCCACCTTTCCCCAACTGAACTGCCTTCTAAATGCTTTGGATTACATTCCCTATCAACTATACAGAACCAGCATGATCAATGGGCATGGATAATAGGTACTGTAGTCCAAAGCATCTAGGAGGCATCTAGGCTGGCTGAAGCCATTTCCCCCACAAATCTTATTTTTATTTGGAGAGCTCTGCTAAATTCTTCTGAACTTTAGTATTACTGCTGTCTTGCACAGAATTCAAATTGTAGATCCCACAATTCTATATTATGTACCAATGGCAGTTACAGTGGTATTAAGTTGCTGTAACTGCAGATCATAGATACACTCTTATATGTGGCCAAAGGGAATGAATCAAAATCTGTGGTCTTTAGTGACACGTACCAAAAGTTTTGAATACATATTTGAACCACTAATTCTCATTGTTCAGGAGGCAACACTAGGTCTGTCCACTCTGTAGTGCCAACCTACTATTTTCGCTTGGCTTCCCAGGTGCTCAAATGGTCATAACAGATTTAACAACCCCTGCCGAGCGTGGCGATGCTTTAGGAAAACTTGGGCTTTGTTTTGGAGCAGGCATAATCGTTGGATCTTCCCTTGGTGGTACCTTGGCCACAACATTTGGGTGAGTGGTTGTCATGCCATGTTATGGTCTTGCACTGTTCTCATGCCTGCCTTGCTAGTGAATGTGTTTCTTTCCCAAGCTGCTGGTAAATCATCTTTAATGAGTTGGCCGAAGGGAATTGAGTTCTCTCTGCCAGCTGTGTACCCCAAGATGAGAAGGATCAATGTCTATCTGAGGCCAGGCAATCTAGAAAACCCCAGTTTCTGTAATATGCCATGGGATCCTAAAGAAAGTAGCTGTTGCTAGGTGGGACTTGTGAAGAAACAGGCTCTTGGGAGGGTCAAGTCTTAGCAGGCACAGAAATGCCCAGTAAATGTTGTAATGACAAACTGACAATAAATGCACCGTCTCTGGCAGCTTCTTTTCACATACCTCAAAGCAGCAGGAGTTTAAATGAAGGTCAACAGAAAGAGCCAAAGTCCAATGGTGATTTTACCCAACCATATCCTGCAGCTAAGTACTAAAGGCAGTTCTGGAAGTTGCCCTTTGTAACATGTTTTTGTCATTACACGGCAAAAGTCAGCCTGTTCTACCTTTAGAAAGTTTTGCCTTATGTCAGTTTCAGAATGTTTATGGATGAGGAAAAAAAGTATTTGTGCTACCATGAGGTTAATAGTGTATCAAAAGGCAGGTTTTTAAATATATATATATATTTAAAATAGAGATGTTACTTAATGAAGGTTATTTATACAACCTTATATTATTTTGTTCATTAAAAGAAGTTTATCAAAACTCCAAACTGACCTACCACAAATTTAAAAAAAAGCACTGGTGTTGTGTAGGGAGGGGGAAGCAAGCAAGCAAAGGACAAAAGCACACAATAAAAGCAGGTCGTTTTTGAGCAAGTTGCTTTGCCCTCAATATTGGAAAAATAAAGAGGGCTTCAAAATATAACAAAAGTAGCCTTAAAATTGCCTCATCATCTTGGCTCATAATTCTAAGGAAACAGGCATATGGGGTGACCTTTCAGTTCATTGGAAGCTTGCCCACTGCCTTTAAGAGGCGGTATGGGTTGGCCTACAGGAGAATGACTGCAGTTCATTGCTCTTTTGCTTGGCAATAAAGATTTACAATCAAACTTTGTTTGTTCACTCATCCATGGGCAGACAAATATATCTCCCATTGAGCCTTAGGCATACTTACTTCAGAGTATCTTCCATTAAACCTACTTCTGAGTAAGCATGTCTAGAATTGAGCTGTTAGCTGTGAAGAGGGTAGAGCAAGTAATTATCTGTATGTCTAAAATTTCTTTTCAAATTTCAATCTGTTGACCAGAGGTTGGCACTGAAACTCTTTTGGTGAATGAAGCATCCAGCATCACTGTTTTGTTAAGACTGTCCTAACTAGAGAAATGGCAAGAATCGATTGCCATCTGCTGGCTGCAGTTTTGTTGCACTGTATAATATATGTTCTTGTTCTTCGTAATGCAACAGCAGGCTATTAATGTAAACGTAAAGGAGGGTAATAAAGAGCTCTAGAATAATAAAGAGCTTGGAAATGTTTAGGAAGGAGACATGATACTGCAAAACTTTGTGTGATTTAACAGTCAGATATTTAAAAGTATCGGTTTGAATTCATTGAACTAGTTTACACTTTTGAGAGCTGCTTCATATACCATTGGTTTAATTAATACACAGCAATTATAGCGATAAAAAAATATTGATGACAGTTGCTGTTGCTTTATCACTTTTTTGCCTAGAAGGACTCCAAAGCAATATATGGTGAAACTCAATAAAATCAAAACAACCTAAAAAGAAAACAGCAGTTTAAAAACACAAAAACAAAGCACCCCCTTTCACATTTTAAAAGCCAAAGGCCTTTTAACGCAATGCATCAGAAAATTAAGATAGAAATAGGGCCAGCCTGATTAAACTAGATGATTCAGATGCAGGGTGTGACTGCACACCGAGGGAAATCTGAATTCACTTGCTGTGAAATCGCACCAGGGAATTAAAGTCTGTGCAGTTTGATTGGTCACTAGATATGGGCATGAACCAGAAAACCAATGGTTCATGATGGTTTGTGGTTTGAAGTTACCCACAAACCAAAACCCAACTTTAACCGCCTCCTTCCCAATGCCCCCATTATCTCCTTACCTGGTCCTACTGCTGCCAATGCCACTGAACATCGCCATCATCTGGGAAGCGAAGCCTGCCTGATGTCTCAGAGGATGACGGCAGCTTAGAAGGCAGCAGGACCAGGTTAGAGAGGCAACAGGGGCAGTGGGAAGGGGGCAGGCATCCATTTTGCTGAAGCAAAGTGAAGCACTGAGGTGGGGGAAAGTTCAGTGCTTCATTCTGCTTTGGCAAAACAGGATCTTTGAACTGAATTGCAAACCAAACCACAAACCAGCTCAATTGTCAGTTTTTCTGTTTCGTGGTTCGGTTCGTGCCCATCTCTAGTGGTCACACAGAAATCAAACTGTTTGCAGCTCTAACAGTCCTGCAAGGTGGCACTCTTCAATGAACTGCATTAATGGGCATCAAGACAAGCTAATGTGTGATATTAAACTTTTTAAAAGGATTGGTAAATAAGAACAGTTTTTAAGGGCATGTGGAGAGACTTTACATAATTTGTATTAATAAAAGGGAAAAATATCTACTTTTGCAAGAAACTTGGGAATTTTGGAGAGAATAAAGGGCTCTGGAATATTTATTTAAAAAATCTGGAAGTATCCATATTTGTCCTGATGTAGAGGTGCACTATACAGTATTTTAGTTAGAGAAATCTGATTAACAGTGATGGTTATGACAGATAGTTATTGTCTATTTGTTAATTATTACCTTTTTAAAGTTATATGCATGGTTTTAGTTGTGTGATTTTTGCTGTATATTTTTGTTATAAAAACTAAATTAAATTAAATTAAATTAAAAAGACAGGCCTTCTCCCTCCAGCTTCCAGCAGGAGACTCACATTATTCAGCTGTAAAATAAAATAAAATAAAATAATAGAAGCTTTTCCCAGAAGGAGAAGCTTTTTTTTTAAAAAAAAAAATGATTCTTGGAAAGATGCTTTGCTGGGAAAATGTGTGCTGGTGCTGTTCTCTCTCTCCCCCTCTCCCTAAGGTGCACTCATGAAGTAAGAGGCAAGAGGGGAAGGTGCTTTGTGTATTTGCTCATGAATACCTTTGTCATCCCTTTTTGCATCAGTTGAAAGCTACCACATATTTTGAACTAAAGTGAAAGAAATAGAGTGTTTAAAAGGCAGAATGGTCTCTGGGGGGAAAGATACAGATTAGCTGGGCGGAAGTCTGATTTGTTTCTCATTTCCCATTGTATGTGATGAATGGGGGGGGGATGCAAATCAGCCCACCCCAGACTTGTAGGGGTTCCTGTATTTTTTTGTTAATGTGGTCTCCTCCATAGTTAACCTTGTTTTTTAAAAGCAGAAGGCAAAACAATAGGTGTTTATTCTAACAAGAGCTTGCCTCAAATTATGTAGCTTACTTGTGAGTTGTAAAGGGCTATCATGAGAAAAACACAGCTTAGAAGGCAAAACAATAGGTGTTTATTCTAATAAGAGCTTGCCTCAAACTACTTAGCTTACTTGTGAGTTGTAAAGGGCTGTCATGAGAAAAACACAGCTTTAGGGATGTACATGGTGAAAAATTTGGTATTTCTTTTGTTTTGGATATTTTCCTAGGTATTTCTTCCATTTTCAAAGTTTTTTGTACCTGTCCTTAAAAAAAAACATGAATGGAAAGCATCTTTCATGATCTCTAAAGACAACAATCTGGCCACCATTGTTTTAACTCTATTTATGCTACGTAGCTGTGCTTTTTGATCATTTTCAGATGATCTCTAAAGACAACAATCTGGCCACCGTTGTTTTAACTATATTTATGCTAGATGTGCTTTTTGATCATTTTCAAAGGGGAACCCCACACAGAGTACATTACCAATAGTGTGGCTGAGAGGCAGTTAAAGCATAGATCATTATGGACACTGGTAGGCAACCCAATGTCTCCACCTGTTAACGTACTGCTGAGGAAACTGGTGTCATTGCCCTTCGATTTGTCTGCCAGCAGTGCTCTGTAGAAATAACTTGCAAGGATTTGGGGGTGAGGGAGTGGGACTTTTTTTGTAATTCTGTGTAAATTTGCCCCAGAGGACATGATTAGTTCCCAGAATAAGCACAGACATTTCTCACTCCTTCGTGTTTCTGTGTGTGCTAAAATGGACATGTAGGTTAAGCTGTGGGAGCTCTCAGGCCCTCCTCCATTGATTGCAGGATTGATAGTCTTGGTTGGCACTCATCTCCCATTTTAACAGCCTCTCAGTCAAAACATACTCTGGGTTTACATGGTCTTTTGTTTTTCTTCCCATGTGCCTATTTTTAGAGCTAACCAGGGTGCAATGAGGAACTGAAGGAGGTTGTCTGAGAACTGGGAGAAAAATGCTAAAGTATGTAATGCTTTCTAGTAAAACAAATTAACATGGCCTCCTAATAGCCTCCAGATCGGTTTTATCTCATCGTAGAATCACAGGATCCTGGAACTGTAGAGCTGGAACAGATTCCAAAGGCCACTGAGTCCAATCCACTGCAAAGCAGGGGATCGACAGCTAAATTATCCTTTACATAAGGATGCCTTATTTGTGTTTTAAAACCTCCAGTGAAGGGAATTCCGCTCCCTCCCTCCATTCCATTGTCAGACAAGAAGTTCCTTCTGGTGTTTAGGTGAAATCTTTCTCATAATCTCATCCATTACTTTGGGTCCTGTTTTCCAGGATCACAAAAAACAAGCTTGCTCCATCTTCCACATTATATTTGGAAGCCTTCAGATATTTGATATTGTCTTTCATATCGTCTCTCAATCCTTTCTTCTCTAAGCTAAACATATACGACTCCCTCAACTGTTCCTCAGTGGGTCCTTAGCACCCACTTTTGGACAAATACTAGCTTGTCAATATTATTTTTAAACAGTGGTGCTCAGAACGGGACACAGCATCCTTGATGAGGTTTGATCCCCACAAAATATGGATGTACTATGGTTTCATGTA